TAATTATTATATATATATATAATAATAAAATTTTATAGCTTTATAAACTAATACCTGTTAAAACGAAATGTTGTTTTCTTGTGTATAATTTATTATTATTGTTTAGATTGTGTACTTATAATCAGTGTCAAGCTGTGATCGTAATGATTTTTTAACGAAATGGATGGAAGAGATCTTAGTGGATGGAGATCGAAAAATATTGAATGTTACATGCTATGAATATCTTATTCGATTTGAAATAACTTTTCTGCTGATGTAGGTAAAGATCTCATGAAAGACTGACTTCCACATTAATACATATTTAGCAACTTGTTTAAACTGAAGCTTGTTGATGTTTTTGTTTTGTAGAGATATGCGAAAAACAAAACATCCGGTGTGCAGCAGATGTCACAAATTTTTAATTTATTTGCATCTTATATGGAAAGACTGGAAAAATTTGCCAAAGCGAGAGAAAGTCAGTAATGTTATTTTAAAATTATGTATAAGGATTAAAAGGATATTCCTCTTAGGAGAGATGTAAGTTACTCATAATATTTTTAAAATATGAAGCAAAAATTTGCCAAAGCGAGAGAAAATCAGTAATGTTATTTTAAAGTTAATGTGTAAGGGTCAAAAGGATATTTCTCTTAGGAGAGATGTAAGTTACTCATAATATTCTTAAAATATGAAGCACAAAAGTTCTTCGCTAAATTGAATCAGGATCGACACTTAAAAAATTTTAACAATAATAAAGTTTTTTATTTTATATGCGTATGCATATACGTTTTATGACTACCCACTCAGCACACATATTCAAAAAATGTCCAGAAGACATCCCGCAGATATCTTTGAGAGATACGATATCTTCGGGATGTCCTCTGAACATTTTCCGGACATGCATGCTGTGTAGGTAACTCTGCTCGTTACCGATAATTGTAATAATGAAAGAAAGAGAGAATTTCTCTTGTTTTTTAGAATAGTTAATCTAATTATTGAATATGTAACGTTAGTGTTCTTATAATAAATGAAAATAAGAAAAAGTTGAAAAAACAAATCCTTCACAGTTTGTGAGACTATTAGGATATTTATTATATATTGAAGTATTATATAATGGATAAAAAATTGTTCTGTGATATTAGTTTAAGCTATGAAATAAGTGCTTTATTTATGTGCACACACACACATGGAAGATATTATATTATAATAAATATATATAATATATAAACGTATATTTATGATTTTAACAATATATAATACACGTTATACGTTATTTCCTAATAAATATTTTTATAAGATACAGTAAGAGGAAAGAAAGAAGTAGAATATGTTTGTGTACAACTGTACAACATTTTAGTTCATGAAATAATTATTGTACATTAATATTCGATAGAGTATGTTAAGGTTGTAACTACTCACTAGATTTGCCTAATCGAGTTGAATACATTGGAGAACATACACGTTGCAATAGCAATAACCCAATCGAATTTTCACAGGAACGATTGTCCCGGGTACAAGGCCGTGTTGCACAGTTATGAATGACGTGGTTGCAAGGTGGGGTGAGCGTGCACCAGCGTTGACTGAACCAGGACTGTGTGAGGTTGAAACGCACCCTCTGCAAACTCCCGAAATAGGGGTCAATCGAACACAGTCGAATATAACGTTCTTCAAGAACTCAGAAAATTGCTTTCACATAAAACAACACTGTTCCGGATGATAAAAACTATGATAAAAATGTAAAAAAAAAAACATTTTAACATCAAGTAAGTGAACAATCATGAAAAGAAACTAAAAGAACCGAACAAGTTACTTGCAATTATAATAATGATCCAGGTGTTAAAAATTTTGGCCTGTGCATCACAATTCGATATTTTTTATCGTTCTCTTTTTCGTCGCTCTTGAATGAAATGAAAGTAAAAACATTCTTTTAGGAGTATATCCGTCTCTCTCGAATTGTCGCGCCGTTCCTGAGCACGTGGCCCGCGATTGGCGCGTCGAGGAAGCGATCGGGCACTTTCGGCGGCGCTAGACCATCTCCGTCGCCCCACCATCGCAAGTGCCTCTCCCATCGAGGGCGATTCTCAGATTCGCGGTAGTAGTCGGTCAGTCGACGTTCATAAATGATGACGTAAGGTCGCAGCTCGCAGCGAGCTGGCGATTGGTGGTACGTGGTAACGGCCTGTCAGTGAACCTCGGACGGAGATGGGGACGCAAAAGCCCGGAGAATGGGCGAGTTTGGTGCTCACGCGTTTCGAGGATCAGGTGCGCGAATTACGACGCTCTGCGTGGCGTGTCGGTCTTCTTTCCTCGCTTGTTTCCTGATCGTCGAGCTCGCCCTCTCCTTCCCTCTTGGCCCGTCTCACTCCTCGCTACCCTCTTCCGGTGTGGCCACCTCCTCCCCCTAATGTCACATCCACGATGCACGATGTTTCGCTCCGATCCCTCGTACGCCTCCTTCGTCTCGGAGCACGATCCCGGTCACGGCTACGTTTTCGGCGAATCTCACGAGGCCCTCTTTCCTTCTCTCTCGCTCGTTCTCCTTTTTCCGACTATCGAATTTCGAGTTTCCACGCCACTCGGTGCATGTAGGGTAGATTTCACGCGGCCGGGTGGATGCCAGCTTATGGATCAACGACTGCGAGGACGATGCTCGTGCGGGTGCGATTGACAGCCGGTTGCACCGATCGCGATTAACGTTAACTCGTAGTGCGTGCAGAATTCACGCTGAAAAAACTGTCACGGTTATGTAGAATCACTTTTGAAGCGTGCTCCGTGCGTAGTGTCGAAAATGCTGCACAATTCTAGAATCTTGACGATTAATTTGCCGCTCGGCTTCGTACAATTTTAAAAACTTGTCCTGAAATATCTTAATAAATACGAACAACAGCCGAGTTTTTGCGATATTCCCCGCAAAGAAAACAGAAAAGAACGCGATTATGTTATCTCACATGCTTAATTTTAAACGTGAACTTCCTGAGGTATTTTTTTACTTGATTCTTGTTTGCTTACGTTACTAATAAAGTATTATTAAGTTTATAAAAATTTATTTCTTAAGTATCATCAGAATTGAATTTTTTAGAGTTTAAAAAAGCCAGAGGATTTGAAGAAATAATCAGAGGACAGAAGTCTAACTAAATTTTTAACAATTAATCCAGCTTATATTACTGTTTTATATAATGCAGCACGGTTTCAGAAACTGTATTTAACTTACGTGGCTCTAATATGACATCAGATACAGATATAGAGCACATCCGGCTGCATAATTAAGACATTATTAAAATCATAATCCCTGCTTGTTTGTCTTATCTATATTGGTATAATAATAACACCGCAATTTTTTCAATTATTATATTTTAATCATAAAGGCATCAACACACCCACTACTGATCCAAATCAATGTTCGCCAACGCAGCCGTGAGGATCAAACAGGTTCCGAGTTTCGAATACTCACACGATCCGTTTTATTGTTTCTCGTAGAGAAGCGAGATATCCGTAATCGCATTAGACGGTGATGCGTTACGAATGCGTATCGATAAAGCGAAAGATCACCGTGTGTGCTCGAGAACACAGTGTCGTTCCTTCCCTCCTTGATTCGTTCATTCATGAAAAGATGCATTCTTGCAAAGATGGCCCCCTCCTCTCCTCGGCTCCCCTCATGCGGTTTGACCTTCGCCCCCTCCGCCTCCAGTCAACCTCGCCGTGAGAGCAGCTCAATCAAGGTGTATATACAGGAACGTATCTGCCGAGGGTGCGAAGTATAAATATCGGTACTCGTACGACTCCTACGACCCTCGTGATCCCGTGCTCCGTGCGCGATTTTTTACCGCTTGCGCGCTATTTATCGTCGGCCGATGTTTATAATTATAAACCCACGCTCGTGTGTTAATCGCAGACTCCCGATTATTTACATCGCGTTAATCTGCATCGCGATTAACGTTTCGAAAATTAATGAAAGAAACCGACGTATTCAACGGCGAATCAGTTTCAGAACGGCTCTATGCTTTCGTCCGCTTTTGAGGAATTGGAAAAAAAAAATGAATTTTTCAACAATTTGCGACTTGAAAATTGCGTGTTGCAAATTCCTCCTCTCGCGAAAATTGCTTCGCCGAAAATTCATAGCCCCATTCTCGCGTATCGCGGATATCCATGAATGAAAGTGACATTCTCTTTACACGCAACTTACTACACTGCCCGCCGCTCGACAAAAGGGAATAAAACCGAAATTGATTACGCCCGTACGAGCGTATAAGTCGACGTTTCCTGAATGCCGAGGCAATTTGTCGCCACCATTATTTTGACGCGCGTCATCGTCCTTAAGCATCCTCTTCCATCCTTGACGCACGTGCGACACGATAATCGCCATCCCCTTCGGAAAATGAATGGAGCCATCCGCCAAGATGTTATTTATATGTGCGCTTCTGCGTTTATTTATGTATTACGTTGTATATTTATTTCTAATCGTCGACTCTCCGAATTGCAGCTGCCATGTCGTTCCGGTCCCGAAAGTCCTCACTCTCGAGTGAACGAGAAGAGGAGCCAGAAATGCTTGATAGATATCTCCCGGTACCGCTTCTCCCTCGTTATATCCGGCCTCACGAAGATGCTGCAGCGCGTCAACGAGCTGACACCGAGCACGAGCGGGCAGCGTCCGTTTCACACCATGGATCAGGACCGGCAGGAGTCTATCATCATCGTCCTGGACACGCTGGAGAAGTGCCTGGCGAACGCGCCGAAGGACACAACGAAATTCGAGGAGGCGACGAACGTGAAACTGTTGCTTCGTGAAATATGCCAGTTTATAGGTGAACAAAATGAGCGAGGAAATCTGCCGATTTATGATGACCAAGCGTGGATATGTAATTGTAATCTTTTGGCAGGCATTCCGTACGATAGTTCGCAGACGAAAATGATAAAGGATCTGGCGTGCAAGGTACTGTTCGCTCTGAGCCAGAACTTCTTCAACGCGGTCTTCAATCGGATATCGGCCAGACTGCAAGAACTGTCCAACAGCGGCGAGGAGAATCCGGACTGCAGCGACATCGAACTGATGCAGTACATCAATGCCGACGTCCACAAACTCACTAGGCTTCTCAAGGGTGAGCGGTGAATATTAAGTGGCGCGATTGCATATAAAGCAATGTTTAAAACGTATTTTCGTTTCTGCAGAAACGATACAGAAAATCCGGCTGCTGAAGAAGTCGGCGCATCTCGTTCTCATGAACTCTCTGGAGAAGGCGATCTGGAACTGGATGGACATCTATCCGCAGGAGTTCGCCGATCTGCAGAAGCAGCCTAACGAAGATCTCAGTAAAGCGTGCGAGGAGTTGTTCGACATTCTCGACACGTTCGTCGACGAGAAGAAGAAGAGCCGCGCCGCGGCGGTGTGGCCGCTGCAGATAATACTGCTGCTGCTCTCGCCGAAGGTGTTGGAGGAGATTCTTCTGTTGAGCAGCGATCCGACGTTCACCGGCGCGTCGCGGCACTCGAAGAAGAAGCAGTTCATCGACAACGTGAAGCGCAATATAAAGATGCACGGCAGCTCGTCCAGCCGGCAGCTGACGGAGGCCGCGGCGGTCGCGTGCGTCAAGCTCACGAAAGCGGCCACGTACATCAATAACGCGGAGTCCAACAGCAACGTCGTTCTGACGCTGGTGCAGCAGCTGATGGACGATCTGATGCTGCTTATCTTCAATCCCTCGAAGCCGTTCTCCCGCGGGCAGAATTACAGCGCGCAGGACGTCGATCTCATGATCGACTCCTTCGTTAGCTGTTTCCGCATCAATCCGCACAACAACGAAGTATTTAAGTTCTGCCTGAACGTTAACTATCCGTCGTACCAGTTCGTCCTGGTCAGCTCGTTGTACAAGCAAGTGTCAAATATATTCTGCTCTCGCGCGACAATTTTATAATCGCGACTTCGATTTTCACTTCAGTATTATTTTTTCAGAATTTTTACGCAGCCGAGATTATCGTGGTGGCCGGAGATCAGTCTTGTTTATTCGTACGGCACAGAACTCAGAAACATGTTCACCGATACTCTGAACAAAGTGACGCAGAACTGCATGTGGTACGCGCCGCTACGCACAACGTTGATTCACAACTTTGGGCTGAAACCTAAAGAGGAGGTTAACTCTAGAAATCTGTTGTTGATGATGGTGCGATTGGTTCACGTGGATCCCATGTTAATGCTGCACGTATGTTGTATATTTTGTTACTCGAATATTGAATATACGTGTGCATAAAATATAGATTAGATTAGATGTGCACAAAACGTCTGAGACCTACATTAATTTAGCACTTTTCAGAGTTACGGTACGGCTGGTCATGAAATACAAAGGTCCACTTTAGAGTTGATCAATGGACTCATCTCGCTGGTCCATCAGCACACGATGCCGGACATCGCCCACGAAGCGATGGAGGCTCTGCTAGTGCTGCACCATCCAGACAAGGTTAAAGCGTGGAATCCAGAAGCGCCGCTGTACACTTTCTGGGACGTTAGTTCGCAAGTCATCTTCTCGATCTCCGAGAAATTGATTCAGCATCAGATTTTCAACTACACGACCATACTCAAATGGCTGCGCGAGATATTGTGCTGCAGAAACGCCTTTCTTTCTCAGCACAAAGATTACGCGAACGTGGGCAGCCAAATCGCGATCAGCAAACAAGCGCACATTAAGCTCGAGGTATGCATCTTTTAAATTATCGATAAAATTACAGCTGAGATTAATTCGCAAATATTCTCGCGCGCAGGTCGTTTGCTTGATGTATTTATGGAGTATAGACATAGAGGCTATTCTGGTGTCCATGTCTTGTTTCGCGCTGCTATGCGAGGAAGCTGAAATTCTTTGCGGGAGCGACGAGGTAGCAGTGACGTCTCTGCTTCCAAATTATCAGTTGTTTTCGGAATTGGCGCAAGCCTCGGCCTTGATCTCTGGTGAGCTTTAAATTAGCGTTCTTCAGCTTTATTCGTGTGAATCTACGATTTCACGAGAACAGAGATAGAAGTAATGTTTCTTCCGGATTCAAGATTCTTTTATGAACTTTTAAATACATTTGCTTTTATTAAGAAGATTCTTATTCGTCTGTAGTAGAGTATTAAAGATCTTCTTATCGTAATAGCCCACGGGGAGAGTAGGCTATGTTATCAGGAACATAATCATGGTGAGTTTTTATCTTCAATCTTATGTTATCTGTATTACATCTTGTTGTTCCCTTAGTAAGTCGATTATTTCACATTGACGCAGCAGCTTGACGTTTGTATTTCAGGACGTGCCGCACTGCAAAAGAAAATATTGTCCTTATTGAAAAAGATTGAGCATTGCGTGAATGGTGTGCAACCTGTACGTATATTTAAATTTATTTCTTGTATACGAATATTTTTTATACCCAATGAAAAAGCATATCGCATTAAATTGGTGCAAAAGATTTGTCGCTTCTCCGTAAATTATTTTTAATAAAATTATCGATTTTTACTTTAAGAACTCGGAGTTTTCTAAATTGGACGTGCAACTTTTCAGAAGAAAAAATATATTGAAGTTAATAGTGACTGTTTTAGTTCGTAAAAATTTCTTTGAAACTTGCTATTCTATTTTTAATTTACTTAAATCTTTTGCGTCAATCTAATATTAAAATTGATTTTTATAATTGCGTTATTTTTTCCGGGTCTGTCGCGAACGTTTAAGATGATATTTTTAAACTAACAGAAGCGTTACGTTTAGGCTTGGGAGGAGACATTCAAAAATTGGGAAGCGATCTCGCGGCAGTTTCTCGTGCCTACCAAAGTCAAGACCGAGGATGCGCAGGCGGAGTCGTTCTGTCGCAGCACCGTGAAGCGGAAAACGGCGCACCAGAACTCAGAGCACGAAGTGGAGGAGCAGATTAACGAGTGGGCCAACATGACGGGATTTCTCTGCGCTTTGGGCGGAGTGTGTCTGCAGCGTCGTTTGAGCAGACCGCCCGAGCTGCCGCCCTTTCCCGAACCTAAAAAGAGCTCGACGAAACAACAGGAACCTGGTTCGGTTTTAACGAATCCCAATCAAGACGCACAATGTTCAGTGACGCAGTTTGTGCTGAATTTATTGCGATTATTAGTTTGCAACAACGAGAAACTTGGCAATCAAATTCAGAAGCACGTAAAGGAGATGGTTGGGCACGAGATGAGCCCCGCCCTGTATCCGATATTGTTCGATCAGATTAAGATTTTCGTGGAGAAGTTCTTCGATCCTCGCGGACAAGTGATAGTATCGGACTTGAACACGCAATTCATCGAGCACACTATATTCATCATGAAGAATATTCTGGACTCGAAGACGGACGAGCCATCAGAATACCTCGGAATGACCAGTATCGAAGACATAATGCTGGCGACCGTTCGATACGTCAGGCGTTTGGACATGATAGTGCACTCGATATGCATTAAGACGAAATTGTGCCAGCTAGTCGAAACCATGATGAAGAGACGGGACGATTTGGCGTTCAGGCAAGAGTTGAAGTTCCGCAACAAACTCGTGGAATATTTGACCGAGTGGGTAATGTGCGCGCCGCCATCCTCAGCGATAACTGCCAGTGATATCACATCTTATACTAAGTAAGATCAGTGTTTTATATATATTTTATGTACGCAAATGTGTGTTTAATTTTTGCTCTTTTAATTTTGCAAAAAGGCTCCGCCTACAATTATAACAAACATTTAAAAAGATTACAATTATCTAATGTATTGTTTTAACTTTCTAGGGATTTAGATCAAGCTTGCATGGAGGCTGTAGGAGCGTTATTGCGTGGACTTCCTCTTCAGCCTGAGGATTCTGATCGCGCCGATCTGATGGAAGCGAAATCCGAGCTGTTTTCGAAATATTTCATGCTCTTTATGAAATTAATAAATGACTGCAATAAACCGTCAGAGGACAAGGACGTTGTTTGCGAACAATCGCCTGCTATAGCGACTAATAAGCTGACCACTTTGCGCAACACTACCATTCAAGCCATGAGTAATCTTCTCAATGCGAATATAGACAGCGGTTTACGGCATTCGATACGTACGTAAAAATATTCTATTATTTTATGCGCTTTTAATTCGAGAGTTTCTTTGGAAGAATTGTGAATCCATTGAAAACTTCTCCACAATTGGATTTTTACATCAATTATTAGTTCTACAATTATTAAATTTTTCACTTTTTTTAGATTTAGGCTACAATGCAGATCTCCAAACGCGAGCTGCGTTTATGGAAGTGCTGACTAAAATCCTTCAGCAGGGAACGCAGTTTGACACTCTCGCCGAGACTGTTCTAGCCGATAGATACGAGCAGTTAGTCGAGCTTGTCACAATGATCAGTGATAAAGGCGAGCTGCCTATTGCCGTGGCACTGGCTAACGTGGTGACGACAAATCAAATGGACGAGTTGGCGCGTGTCTTTGTGATAATATTCGACGCGAGACATTTGTTGTCGCCTCTGTTATGGAAAATGCTCTATCGAGAGGTCGAGCTAATCGACGGCATACAGACTCTTTTTCGCGGTAATACTTTAGGAAGCAAACTCATGTCCGTCTGCTTCAAAATTTATGGCGCCAGCTACCTGCAAAACCTGCTCGAGCCTTTCATCAAACCTTTGCTGGACGAGCCAACGATTAGTTTTGAGGTGGACAGTGCGAGGATTGACCCGAACGAAAATATCGAACAAAACGGTGGCAACCTAATTTTATTGACACAAAAGGTGTTCAACGCCATAATCTCGTCGGCAGATGCGTGAGTCATCATTCACTGCAACTTGCCGTCGCGAAGAAGCTGCGCTACACTCAAAGTATGTTTGTTTTCTCATTTAATTTCAGGTTTCCTCGGCAGCTGCGCTCGGTGTGTCACTGCCTGTATCAAGTATTATGTAGAAGATTCCCGCAATCCAAGAGGGCCAACATTGTGGCCGTGGGAACGGTGCTGTTTTTGCGCTTCATCAATCCTGCCATCGTCTCGCCGCAAGAAATGGGCATTGTGAATAAGCCGGTGCCGCTGCAGGTCAAGCGCGGCCTCATGCTCATGTCGAAGATACTGCAAAACATCGCCAATCACGTAGAATTCAGCAAGGAGCAGCACATGCTACCGTTCAACAACTTTCTGCGAGCGCACTTCGAGATCGGTCGGCGATTCATCATACAAATAGCGCTAGATTGCGAAGTGCAGGACGACGAAACCAGCCATCCTGTGTCCTTCGTGTCGGACGCCAACGTCTTGGCCTTGCACAGGCTGTTGTGGAATCATCAGGAGAAAATCGGCGACTACCTCAGCAGCAGTAGAGACCACAAAGCTGTCGGAAGGAGACCTTTCGACAAATTGGCCACGTTGTTGGCGTACCTTGGCCCGCCCGAGCACAAACCAATCGATTCCTAGTGAGTCACTGAACAGTGGCGGTTTTATTAGATTGATACAAAAGGTTTTTCGTTTCTGCTTGAGTCTATTTTAAACAAAATTATCAATTTCCAGTCTGAGAACTCGGAGTTTTTAAAATTAGACTTATAAAATCTCGTTTCCAGATGAAAAAATGTATTGAAGTCAATGGTTACTATTTTAGTTTATAATAATTTATTTAAAATCCTGCAAGTTTTGATCTTGCTCGATGAATAGGACAAATCTTTTGCTCCAACTAGTGTTATTCTCGTATAAATAATGAATTTATTATACGTTTTAATTTCAGCTCGCTTTTCTCGTCTTCGTACGTCCACATGTGTTCACGATGGACAAGTAAAGACATATCGTCGACCAATTTTGAAGAGCTCATGATGAAGCTTAATATGCACGAGAGAGAGGACTTCAAAAACATTCAGAATATGAACATTTTTTATCAAGCAGGCACCAGCAAACTAGGCTACCCAGTATTTTATTACATTGCACGACGGTTCAAGTATGTGCGAATCGCTTTTCCAAGATATAGCGAAATATTTATAAGTCTACGAAAATATACGATAGTTGTTCTTGCGCTCGCAATTAAAATAATTTACATTTCGATTTTCAGACCCAGCGAAGTAAACGGCGAGCTGCTGATATATCACGTGATCTTAACTCTAAAATCGTATTATCATGCTCCATACGACCTAGTAGTCGATTTCACTCACACGTGCGTGGACAACCGGTGCAGGACGGAGTTTTTACAAAAGTGGTTTTATGTATTACCGGAGCCGATTTACGAGAATCTCCACGCGGTGTACATCTACAATTGCAACAGCTGGCTGCGCGAATTCACGAAATATCACGACAGCATTCTAGCGCCGCTGAAGGGTAACCGAAAGATGGTCTTCATGGACGTTCAAGAGAGATTGAACGACGTGATCGACGCCGAGCAGCAGAAACTGCCCGGTGCGACGGTGTCCCTCGAGAAGGACTTGAAGGTCTTCACCAATGTCTTGAAACTGTGTCACAAGGAAATGAAGGTGTCGGTGAAGGTCGGGCCGACGACTGTGCAGGTAACTCACACGGATAAATACAAAGTGCTGTCGCACTACGTCGTCCTCAACGATGTGTTTTACGCGTCTGAGATCGAGGAAGCCAGTGCACTGGAAGACAATCAATTTTCGTTGACCATCGCCAACGAGCCTACCATAACCTTCGCCTACAACGACTGCGAGAACATCGTGCAGGCGATACGTCACATCAAGAATCGCTGGCAGCTGTCGCATCCGGACCCGATGTCCATTCATTCGAAAATCAGGCCTAAGGACGTGCCCGGCACTCTGCTAAACATGGCCTTGCTGAATCTCGGCAGTCCGGACCCGAATCTCCGAACCGCCGCGTACAATCTCTTGTGCGCGCTCACGGCGACGTTCGGTCTGAAGATAGAGGGCCAGCTGTTGGAAACGTCGGGTATCTGCATCCCGTCGAACAACACCATATTCATCAAGCATCTGAGCGAAACTTTGGCGGCGAACGATCCGCATCTCACGCTCGAGTTCCTCCGAGAGTGCATACAAGGCTTCAAGGAGTCCACCATCGAGCTGAAGCATCTGTGCCTGGAGTACATGACACCGTGGCTGAGCAATCTCGTGCGGTTCTACAAGCCTCACGACGAGAGCGGCAAGCGGCAGAAGCAGGTGACGGAGATCCTCGACGATCTGATCACGCTGACCGTGCAGGAGGTGGAGATGTATCCGAGCATACAGGCGAAGATCTGGAGCACGATCGGCATGCTGCCCGAGCTGATAGACATCGTCCTCGACATTTTTCTGCATCGCAGCGCGCAGTACGGATTGGGCTCGCTCATGGCCGAGATCATGGCGGACACCGCGGTCGCTTTGGCGTCCGGCAACGTGCAGCTGGTAGCCAAGAAGCTCATCAGCAAGGTGTGCCGAATAGTGGACAAGACCTGCATGTCGCCGACGTCTCAGCTGGAGCAGCACATAATGTGGAGCGACATAGCGATCCTGGCGAGATATCTCCTGATGCTGTCCTTCAACAACTGCCTGGACGTCGGAAAGCACCTGCCGTACATCTTTCACACGGTCACGCTGCTCGTGTGCTCCGGTAGTCTCACCATGCGAGCGTCCACTCACGGTCTGGTCATCAACAGCATCCACTCGTTGTGCACGTGCAGCTCGCCTTCGTTCTCCGAAAACACGTACAGGATACTGCGAATGAGTCTGGATGAGTTCTCCCTGCCGAAATTTTACCTGCTGTTCGGCATCAGTAAGGTGAAATCCGCCGCCGGCACGGCCTTCTACAAGCATCCGACTGAGAAGTCGGAGAAGTCGGAGAAGTCGGAGAAGTCGTTGCTCAGCAACGAACGCAACATGTTCAGCACGCAGGACAAAGAGAGACTGTACCTGACTAGCCTGGAGGTCATAACCGACGCCCTCCTCGAGATCATGGAGGCGTGTATGCGCGACATTCCCAAGTGCGATTGGTTGAAAACGTGGACGCTGCTGGCGAAGAACTTCGCGTTCAGCTTCAATCCGGCGCTGCAGCCGAGGGCGCTCATCGTTTTCGGCTGCATCAGCAAAAGCATAACGGATCAGGACATGAGGCAGCTACTGAAGATACTGATGAAGGCGCTCGAAAGCTTCAACGATATCAATCTCATGGAAGCCATCGTCATGTGCCTGACGCGACTGCAGCTTCTCCTCAGACCCGTAAGTCCTCGTTCGAGACGGCATTAGAAATCGTTCAACTTTGAGTACTCGGCGCCAAAGTCATTTTTATCGTTTTTCTGTTAAGAAATCGCCAATACATAGGTACTTATTCTGGGTCGGCACGTTCATTCTCGAGTTAGATGAAGCGGCTTTATACGCATCCGGCCTGGCTCTCCTTGAACAGAATCTACACATACTTGATTCGCAAGGCACTTTTGACGAAAGGGTGCGTACATTTTAATTTTCCTCGGCTCAAGCTATAGACAGATATTTCTCGACGTGTAAAAAGATCATTGTTTCCTTTTCCAGACGTTGGAGCACGTGATGATGTCAACGCGCGAACCTCTAGAATATCAGTTTAAGCAACTAGACCACTCTGTAGGCTTATCTTTTAAATCCAATTTTCATTTCGCGTTAGTCGGCCATCTCTTGAAAGGCTACAGGCATCCCACGCCGACTACGGTCACCAGAACAGTCAGAGTGTTGACCATGCTGCTGGCGATCGTGGCGAAGCCTTTCAAAAGGGACAAGTTCGAAGTAACACCCGAAAGCGTTCCGTATTTGACTGGTATGTTAGATTTGCAAATTCAAGATTTCATAAAGTATCTATTAAAATCTTGCGAAAAATTATACTCCCGTTTTATTTCGCAGCGTTAGTGGCTGTGTCGGAAGAGGTTCGCAGCAGGTGTCACATCCGGCACTCGCTCGACAAGAATTTGCACGATTCGTCAGGTAATTCGGACATTCTCGACACGTTACCATCGCGCAATGTGGTAAGCAGCCCTCTCGCTCGTTTGTAATACAATACATGCGAAATTCTCATGAGAGATTGTTCGCCAGGACATACCGGGAACGTCGAATCCTACGAATAGGAGGCAGAAGACGTGGGACTTGTTGGATCAGTCGGCGCTCACTCAAGCGAAAAAGACGAGCGAACAAAAGCAGCAGACTGCGCAGGTATGAATTGTGCTATTACGCGTAAATTCGCTCGCGAATCAATTTATTCTTTATCAGTTGGAGCGATAATCATAGCGTAGCTAACTTATTGCCGCGTAGATAATTCATTCGTTTGAAGTACCGCAAGAATATTCACGTTTGCGTTCTCGAAAACCCTAATTTTGTTTTTACGTAGAACATATTCAGACATTTGCACCACGATTATTTAATTAGCGAATTGAAAAGAGATCCCGAGATTCCCGAGCAGAGCATGAAGTGATTTTTGAACAATGCACTGCATGATCCTAATTAAAAGAATCGATTATTGCACGAGATAAAAATACTGGGAGCTTTTTCCTACAAAACATGAGATATCTGCCCTAGAAAATATCATAATTTGACTTTCGCGACGAATTTAGTTGCTTTTATTACGTTTTGCTTCGCTTATTTTATCATACGAGTTGTTTGGTGAAATCATTTCACTTTCGCTACGAAATATTGTCCTCCCCATTAAATTACCTAAGATATTGTGTGTGTGCTGTATGTAAATATTACTCACAAAACTGCAGGAAAATACGTATTTGTGAAGTTACAGTAAAATGTATTTATCTATGTATTTATATTTGGAATTATATCCTTCCTGTTTTTTGGGTATGTATCATATTTGATTTATATTAAGTATGTGTGTGTGTGTGTGTGTGTGATTTTTCAATTGAGTTTTATCTTCTAATTTCGTTCTCGATACGCGAAAAAGAAGCAAAACCATTGCAGCATTTATGTACGAGTCGCACGAAAGCTGATTTTCGCGCGATCGTTTCGCCCATCGTTTATCTCTTCAAGTCCGTTAATACTAGTAGACCCCTTGCGTATATTATAATATTGTTTTGTCCCTTCATGCATCTCTCTGTTTACTCTCTCGGTGTATGCCCGCGCCTGCCTGTGCCTGCCCGGATTGTGTAAAACATCATGCAACTTGTCACTAACAAGACTGGCCGGCTTTTATTTAAATCGCAGCGATCCCTGAGCGTGCCGAGCACAAAGGAAGACAAGTCAGCGGACGACTCGGAGCAACAGGTACGCGTTATTTCAGCAACAATTTTTTTTTTTCAATCGTTATTTGTACTGACGGACACTGAGAATATTTCGCGACTGTGATAGAATATTCGCCAAAGTGAATTTATCGCGAGAGAACTAATATATTTGTGTTTTCATGTTGCACACGTAGACGGATCGTAGCACTAGAGTGAGCCTGAGCAACGAGAATAACGTCTTACTCGATCCGGAAGTGTTGACCGACTTCTCCACGCAGACCTTGGTTCTGATCATGCTGGCCACTTTGGTGAAGTACTCCACCAACGAGAGCGCGATACGGATTCTCTACGAGTACCTGGCGGAAGCAACTATAGTTTTTCCAAAAGTCTTTCCAGTCGTGTAAGTATTCGCGCCACCGAGCTCGATGAAGATATATAAAAAAAAAAAAACTATCTTTGAATTTTTGCGAACTATATCGAATATTCTTGTAGACACAACTTGCTCGACGCGAAGATCAACAGCGTATTGTCTTCCTGCCACGACCAAACGATATTGAACGCGGTTCAAACTATTATACAAAATATGATAGCTTGCGAGGACACGAATCAGCAGCACCACTTGCAGCACTATCTGCAAAGCTGCGGCTTTCGCGGTCTTTGGAGGTTCGCGGGACCTTTTACGAATGTAAGTTCTGCAGACCGACATTTCCATTTTTTTTTTTTCCCCTTTCTAATTTAACGTCTCCACGCTGGATTTGAGAAGTCAGTCTTATGTATTCTTAATTGAAGATGTGCTTACAGTCCAGTTGTACGCCTGAGAGTGCCGAATTATTTGCGAGTTGTTTAATGGCGATGGTAGAAATGTGCGATGGTAGAAATGTGCACGACGCGCAGGAGTCGAATATCAAAGAGACGGCTGGCGGAAGAGGAGGCAAACCCACCGGCGGCTGTCAACCGGACTTTGCGTCAAAAGCAAGACCACCCGCAGCTGTAACTGGCCACGAACACACTCGCGTGTCATCGAAGCTCGACGCTTCCTCCGTTTATGTAGAGTAAGTCTCCCGTCTCACAATATTCGCTAAGACAACTTGAACTATGGAAAATCATAACGTATGTTTCGTCGCAGTTCTAATACGAATAGCAAACGAGACGACTCGATTGACGCGCATCAGACTGAGGACAAGGGTGGCGGTGATGGCGGCGGTACGCAGACCTAGCAATTAATATGTGATACTGGCAGAAAATGCGCTAGAAATGCGCAGATGGAGCAAAATGGTCGAAAGTTGCAACGGCAGATGAGGTATATGAATTTTGGAGGATTGAATAATAATTATTTTGCAATCACCAATTACAAATCGAAATTATTCGAATTACCAAGCTAGAAGAGACTGTTATCTCTCTGCTGAATATTCGACTGTGAGAATATTGTGAGAACTGTGTTGTGTAAATTTAGCGAATTTACTAATATGTTTTCTTTTTTCCAAACGTAGAGTCCCATGTTATTTCTGCAAAATGGCCAGTCAGATTAGTACAATGCCGTCCACGATAACGAGTCTACAGAAATGGAAGTCAACGAAAACTGCACTTCTGTAGAATGTTATTTTATTTTTAGTAGCGATATATGCGATTAGCGACTTTGCATTACGTTCCGAGACTGTTCTATTAATTATGCAAAATTTATTGTTTCAGTTTAACTTGCTACGAGATTCAAGTATATTGTTGACTCTTTCACACAATGAAATTGAGAAATTTATATAGCGCAAAGTATTTTATCATAATTTCTCAATTATCGTTGTTAGAAAATTTCCAGTGCGATTAGTTTTGTCAAAAGAAATTCATTGAATCAGCAACGAATATTGAATATGTTCGATATTTTCTCAGTAATTACATATAATTTATTGACTAATACTAATTCTGCCATGGTCGCAATACATATATAGAATTATTAATAGCCCGCAGAGAACCAACGTGAGAAATAGATCAAATTTAATGCATTGCTCGCAATTTTTCGTGTCAGAATTATTATCATTTAATGCAATATTAAGTAATTCAAATATAAGCAATTATTCTAAGAGAAGAAAATAAAGATCAATAAATGCTTTTTACTATTAATTTTTACGGAATATTTGGAGTTCTAATTAGAGATTCTTAAAAACATTGTGATTAAACCTTAAAAATTATGTGAAGAAGAAGCTTCAACTTTTTCGCGCCGCAATTATTATTCTACTTGTAAATCTCTGTTGGTCCTCTAAGGTCTAAAAGTGATTGCGCCAGGTCTAGTAGTGGTTATGTTAGGCCTAATAGTGATTATGCCAGGCCTAATAATGGTTACACTGGGAAACTTTTTACGCAAGAATCGTTCCTTCTCTCGTATGCCGTTGCGTATATAAGTTTCGAAGATACAAGATGATCTGGACCAGAGTGACGCGCCTCTCGTCTCGAGGCGTTCGAAGCCTCAGGACGGATTATTTCTAGAGTCCTATCAAGCAAAACACCAATATATAATTGTATATTGTCTACCACTTATTAAAGTACAAAGCGAGACCAAGCGATATATCTTCTCCATACTGTAACGTATGCCGGGACATTTCAGTAACAAGGAGAAGGGAGCGAGTGATAGAAGCGAAATGTAAAACGACCCGCAGCGATAGATCCCGCGCCCGTGCTAGTAACAATGAATACCAAGTGCCGAGGATCACGTTAAAATACTATTTTGACATTTGTATCGTGAATAATACTCGTCCCTTTAATTTAAACTTCATTTATTTATTTAGGTGAATCTTCTTTAACGCCATAGCGAGTGTAATGTGTATAATATGAGATACGAGAATGGGAATGCGAATCTATGATGTGGAAAATGATATTTTTGTGCGGCTATGTAAAGCGGATAGCAGCTTTTCAATGGCACTAGGGTGAATGTTAGAAGTTTGAAAGATGCGTTTGTACATAGTGCATCGTGTTTGTGCAATGTTTGTATAAACGCGACGATTGTATAAATCCGTTGATTTTTGTTCGTCTTTTCTATTTTTAGAAAAAGCAGAGCGATAAGCGGTTCTAGAAAATCGTCGATACATTTCAAAATTAACGAAGTGAAATGAATTTATTCGAGTTTTACATGTAGAGCTTTTTCTGAGCTTGTACTTAAGCTTAAGTCGATGAGTTTACGTTTAAGACGGACATGAGCTTTGATTTTATCGAATGTTTGTAATGCGCTAGTCATGATAATTTAAAAAGCTCGAAATAATTTTTTTACAATGTTTCTTATAGAGTGCGTCTTTATACATGTGAAATTTTTGTTACAAAGCTTGCCAAGACTGGCAACCACCATGACGTGTAGTACGCTGATGTTTGAATTAATAGTTTTATCCGGTATTGACATAACGATTCGTTGATAATTTGTTGACTTTACTCGCACAGTTCGGAATTGTTAAGCGTATCGGTAGCTGTCGTGTTGTCTTTTACCAAAGGTATAAATCGTCCCTAGGCTGCGTTAGGTAAGGCGATTAATTAATTGCGTGTAATCAAGAGAGATAGACCGTAACTGCTTAATATGTATGCATCGGTTCTCGTGTTTTCACGATATTCATATTCCTAGAGTGTCTTATCACGATGGATTTGTAAATACCAGGTTTTAGCGTGTGATGATTGAACAACGAGTTCTACATCGGTCTAGCGAGTACTTGCCTGCGTGTGTTTAGAAAAATAATTGTCTTTTTTTTTTTTAACAACACAAATCAACGTTTTTCTCGTTTTTAATACAATTTATAAGTTATGGAAAATAAAAGTCGTTCGTCTTTTTCGTTATGTCTGAATTTTGTATCAATATGTTTTTTACTGCAATTTTCAGTCCTGGAAGCGTTCATGTTTTCTTGCTAATATTATTAGTAATTGATAATTTGAATGCATATTTTTAAATACATGCCAAGATGACTTGCCGTACTGTTATAATTCTTTATTTTAAATT